CCAGTGGCTTTATCAATACAAATTCTAGGACATAATTTGAAGACAGTAGAACTATGTACAGAAGATGAGGTAATCAGTCCCTCAACCTTGGAGTAGGTGCGAAGAGCACCGTAGTCGTGGAGATTCTGAAGCAGAAGCAAGGAGCCTGGCGCTTATATAGTAATGTCAGGTGTAGCAGACGAGGGCATAGTCACTGGTAGGCGGGATTCCCCAGTGGAAATAGGCCCTTCCCAAAGAGATGGGTTAGTTGTAGTAGTAGTTCGTGAAGGTTATGTACATGTCCTCAGACTGTCTTCAAGTTATGTCCTAGAATTTGTATTGATAAAGCCACTGGATGGCGAAACGTCTACAATAAAGATACCCAGATGTTGCACTTGTGTCTTAATTTCATCTTGTTGGTATTATATACCATTCTTGAACAACTATATCCCTCCCTGCTTTTAACATTTCTGTCATGATCCAGTCAGCTCCAGCTGCTTTACCCCCTTTCATTCTACGTAATGTCTCACGCACCTCCCCCACACTTACATCCTGCTCTTCTTCACTCCTAAAAGATGACATACCTCCCTGGGCAGTGCATGAAATTACCGCCTCCCTTTCTTCGTCGACATTTAAAAGTTCCTCAAAATATTCTTGCCATCTACCCAATACCTCCATCTCCCCATCTACTACCTCCCCTACTCTATTTTTAACTGACAAATCTATTCGTTCCCTAGGCTTTCTTAACTTGTTTAATTGACTCCAAAATTTTTTCTTATTTTCATTAAAATTTCTTGACAGTGCCTCTCCCACTCTATCATCTGCTCTCCTTTTGCATTCTCTCACCACTCTCTTCACCTTTCTTTTGCTCTCCATATATAAAGTAAAAAGACACAAGTGCAACTAATGTGACATTTTATTGTGGCAATGTTTTCGCTCTCCAGGAGCTTTATCAAGGAATTACAAACAATACATGAACACAGAGGGGTATATCTTAAACACTCAGGCGACCTTCTCAACCGCATCCGAAACCTCTCCATCCGTAACAAGAAACTAAGCAGTTTGGACGTGACTTCCCTCTTCACAAAAGTACCTACCACAAAAGCCATCAAGGTTCTATGATGTAAAGTCAATCAGGACCTTAATCTTCCTCTACCTCCCGGAGATTTTGTTGACTTGATTGAACTCCGTGTTACTTTCAACTGTTTTTCTTTCAATAACAAGCTCTACAAACAAACCTACGGCATGGGAATGGGGTCCCCCATCAGTGCCGTCCTAGCCAACTTATACATGGAACACCTAGAGCCCGAACACTTCGCCAACATCATCCCTTCAAGTGTTACTTGGTTACGTTACGTGGACGACGTCCTCGTAATAACTCCCAAACGTTTTGATGTACAGAATCTTCAGGCAAGGCTCAACGCAGTTGAACCGGCGATCCAGTTTACACTAGATGAAGAGTCCAATGACAAGCTACCTTTCCTCGACGTCCTCATTCACAAAGTAGACAACAACCAAAGGCTTCAAGTTTATCGGAAACCTACCAATAAAAATGATCTCACACACTTCTATTCCAGTCAAGATAGCAAGACCAAAAGAGGCATCATCATCAGGTTTTTCCTAAGAGCATACCGAATTTGTAGTCCTGAGTTTCTTGACGAGGAATGTACATACATTCACCAAACATTCACTGAGTTACATTTTCCTTCCTTTTTCATCAAAGACTGAAAGAAAAGAGCTCTTCAGATCATTAATTCTCCATGCACCAACACCACTCCCAACAAAGTTATAATTCTTCCCAACAGCCAGGTTGCACTGAACGTTTCTAAAGTACTTTCACAAGCTAACACCAGAGTCGCCATCGCTTCTAGCACTTCAATAAAGGATCTAACCAGGACAAAATCAAAGCACCACGAACCAGTCAATGCAGGAGTTTACACTATACCCTGTGGAGGCTGTGACAAAATTTATGTAGGTGAAACAGCAAGAAACCTCGACACCCGCCTCAATGAACACATTTACGCATGTAGGAACGATAACTTGAACAACGCCTGTGCACAACACCGAAATTCCACCAATCATCTCATGAAATTCAGGGATGCCCAATTAGTGATCAAAGAAACTAATTTCTGCAGACGCAAGTGCCTCGAATCAGCACTGATCGCTGTTTCGAATACAATTAAACAAAACAACGGCAGCTTCACCATCTCTGAAGTCTTAGCAAGAATCCTCCTGAAAACAGTAAACCCTGCCATCACATAGTCTCTCCTGTTATACTACACAAAGCACATTACAGAGAGTGAACACTGAAACAGGTTGCCTCTATCCAGTCTATATTTGTCCAACCTATTTTTATGTTACCCAAGTAATAGCTTTTATATCATTTTACTCATGTACAAATTAATTGCTCTACCATATTGTATTACTACTACTACTACAACTTATGTCACTACTACTACTACTACCACTAGTATTGCACCTCACTCTGAGCCTATATATACCCTCTGTGTCCATGTATTGTTTGTAACGGCTTGATAAAGCTCCTAGAGAGCGAAACGTTGCCACAATAAAATGTCACATTAGTTGCACTTGTGTCCTTTTACTTTACATATTGTCGTAATTCTACCAACTTTATTACACTCTCCATATACTCTACTCTTCTTATAACACTTCTGCTTTGTAAAAACCTCTCATAAGCTACCTTTTTCTCTTTTATCACACCCTTTACTTCATCATTCCACCAATCACTCCTCCTTCCTCCTGTACCCACCCTCCTATGACCACAAACTTCTGCCCCACATTCTAATACTGCATTTTTAAAACTATTCCAACCCTCTTCAATCCCCCCACTACTCATACTTGCACTAGCCCACCTTTCTGCCAATAGTTGCTTATACTGTATCTCACCCGAACTTCCTCCTCCCTTAGTTTATACACTTTCACCTCCCTCTTACTTGTTAATAACAAAAAAGGCACAATACCGTGACTGGAATGATACACAAATAACCCGCACATAAAAGAGAGAAGCTTACGACGACGTTTCGGTCCGACTTGGACCATTGACAAAGTCACACTAACCAGAAGTGGGGCAGGACGGCTATATATAGGCAGGAAGAGGTGGTGGTGGTTGTGGTAGTAGTAGTAGTAGTAGTACAAGAATGGTATATAATACCGACAAGATGAAATTAATTCACATGCGCAACACCCGGGCATCCCTATCGTAGATGTTTCGCCATCCAGCCAGCCACTGGATGGCGAAACGTCCACAACAAAGACAACCAGATGCCGCACATGTGTCTTAATTTCATCAGTAGTTGTAGTAGTAGTAGTAGAAGTAGTAGTAGAAGAGGTAGTGGTAGTGGTAGAAGTGGGGAATAAGGAGGACGAGCCAGTCAAATACAAAGGAAGGGGAGCACTGCAAGAGAGCTAGGTGCCCACAGAGGGAGAGCAAGCGCACAGAGGTGCGTGAAAGGGGAAGTGGTGAAATAAATGAAGAAGGAACAGAAACACGAGACAGAAGAGAGAAAGACAACCCAGAGGAGAAAAGGAAAGAGGAAAGGGGAAGAGGGAGAAGAAGAAAAAGAAAAAGAAAAAATGAGGAGTCAGGTTAAGTCACGGGTGTTCTGAATTTTGGAGCATTTTACAATGTAGTGGAAGAGGAAGGCATCTACAGAAGCCAGGGCTAAGGTTCATACAAGGAAAGTTGTGTATTAGAGAGGATTCAACTAGACGGCGACTGTTCGAGTTGGAAGTAGGGAAGACAGTTTTAGCAGAAGACCAGTCAATAGGATGGTTATGATCTCTGACGTGACAGAAAAGAGCATTGTTAGTGTCGGCAAGCCTAACACTATTTTTGTGCTCCCTAAGTCTGTCAGAAAGAGATCGACCAGTTTCTCCGAAGTATTGAAGAGGACAGGAGGAGCAAGAAATAAAGTAGACACCAGGAACATCTGTAGAGGGAGGAGAGGTATGAACGAGATTACTGCGAAGAGTGTTAGTCTGGCGGAAGGTAAGCTTGATGTCTAAGGGACGGAGAGAATTGTTGAGATTAGAAAGACCGGAAATGTAGGGAAGGCAGAGGATAGAAGAGTTCCAGGAGTAGAGAGTTTGGGAGAGAGAAAATTGCATTTAGCACGTGAGAGGGCAGAGTCTATGAAATGGGAAGGGTAGCCAAGATGGGAAAACGAATTATGTAAAGTGGAAATTTCTGCTGGAAGGAACTGAGGATCACAGATGCGGAGGGCACAGAGAAAGAGGGAGATCAGAACACTTTTCTTGACAGGGGAAGCATGATAGGAAAAGTAGTGAATGTACATGCCACTGTGCATAGGTTTTCGGTAAACGGAAAAGGAAAAACCTGTATCTGAGCGGTGGACATGGACATCAAGGAAAGGAAGCAAGGAATTAGATTCCCATTCAGCTTTAAACTTAATGGAAGGGGCAAGATTATTTTCCTCTTGTCCCATCTACCTCTTACTCTAACTGTAGCTACAACTAAATAATGATCTAATATATCAGTTGCCCCTCTATAAACATGTACATCCTGGAGCCTACCCATCAACCTTTTATCCACCAATATATAATCTAACAAACTACTTTCATTACGTAATGAACTCTTCATAACACTATTAATTTTCATTTAAAACAATTTTAGAATTTAAGCACATCAGATATTTCTCACCAAGGCAGGACAACCCAAATAAGGAAAACAGTCACAAATCACTCAATGCCTAGCTACCTTTCTGGAAGTACATGGACATCCCATTTTAAGTGATATACCAAAATGCAACATCCCCAGCCATGCATCAGAGTGCAGGTACCTCTAATACTCAAGTTGGGCAAAATATTTTAATAATAAATACACAAACAAGCAATACTAATGACTGAGTTCAGCTGAAGCTGACAGAAAACATGCTTAAGGTAGATTCATCTGCAAGAGTATGACCAATTAAGTATTATGACAACATATGTGAGTGAATTATTCAACGTACAAAACAAAAACTTTCCTGAATGATACTTACTGGGTCTTTGATTGGCCAGTCAGGGAAGCGTTCCACATCACATAAATGTTTCAAGTAGTAAATATCACAGAATAGTTCATGCTGCAGCTGAGGGTAAGTGATATGTGGGATAGCACAGTACTGGTAAAGGGCCCGAGTGTTGCTCATGAGACGTGGAGTGAAGTCTGCTAGGTGCGACGCCAATTTTTCAATCATGTGTCTGCGCATTTCATTACTCCAAATTACCTACAAAATGTGGTGATAGTTAATAAACACATTAGAAAAGTTATTTATAATGAAAAGCAGAATAAAAGTCAAAATAATTACACAACAAAAGATGTAACATTTACAGGCTATTCGGTACCTCTGGAGTGTCAAATTCTCCTAAAAAGATCTCAGCAAATTTATCAGCACCATAATTCTCAAGATAGCAGACCATAGCCTCAGGAAGAATCTGGCCCAAGATACTCTGGTTCATGATGTCTCCACCAGTGTTCTGTTACAGCATGGTAAGAGAATGATTAATATTAAGGCAACAACATGGTGAAATCTATTGAGTATAACAAATGATTGAATGAGTCATGCATGCATATTTTTTACAATTCAATACTAATTCACAACAATTTACATGCATATGTACTTCATAGTCAAAATTTCTAGTACAGTGGTACCCTGAGTTTCGTACAGCTCCCAACTCAAACAATTATGTAAGTGTATTATTGTAAGTGCTTTTGTAAGTGTATTTTTGGGGGGTCTGAAATGGACTAATCTAATTTACATTATTCCTTGTGGGAAAAAATTCATTCAGTAATGGCACTCGAACAGCCTTTTGGAACGAATTATGGCTGAAACTCCGGGTACCACTGTACAATAGCACTTACCTCCTCTGCTCTGAATGACTGCTGCATATGAGACATGTGGAGGAATCGCCCAATAGGCAGCACATTCGAGCCCATATACATGAGGATGAAGTAAAATACTCCTGTTGTGTACACTGTTGAAATGTTTGGATTGTCTTGCATGATCTCCACTAAAAGTGTAGAAACCTATTTGAAGTAAAATAATGTAACATTCTTACAAACATCCAATAAAGCTGACAGAGAAAAGCCCTTCAGTCACATGTAGTTTAGTGATAGCTCTAGATCAACAATTTATTCTTATAATAGAAGCAATTGGATAAGTTTTAACCAAACAGAAAATGTTAATAAAACTATTAATGACATCATTAAAATGTAATTTAATATATATCATAAGATTAATGGTCCAGCTGCACAAGTTGTGTTTGTTTCATACACAAGTATAGAGATGGGTTTAAGAACTAAAAATATTAAATAAATAAATTTTCTGCATATACAGATACAGTATCTAAATCTGACATTTAGAAACAAAATTTATTTTTGAAACAAACCCAACAGCACTCTAAAGATGATTCTCATGAAAACTGGTTGGCAACTTCATAAGTAAACTGTAAATTAACATGAAATCAAACACTCCCCTCAAAGCTTCAATGTAATCTTTAATCATTATAACAACAAACAAAAAAAATTGTATTCTTAAATTACCTTTTCAACTAGGACTGGGTCAAAAGTGAGCAATAATTGGACAATGTGTGGAAGAGAGAGTGGGTCAGAGAGCAGCCGCTTGATGCGAGGTAGTGGACGTATAACTGCTCCGTCGTCTGTCCGTGACGGAAAGTATCTACACATGGTGATGAGCATGTTTAGGATGAGGGTTGCAAGGTCACTTTCTGTCATGACTGCATTAGCCTGAAAATAAAGCATATTTTAAAAATTTAACATGTGATGCAGTTTGCATACTTTGAGGTGAACAAATATATCTAGATGTACTTATTAACATAAAGTAGAGAATGGAGTTGAACATTAGCTTACTCCAAAACATAAGAGAATACTGTAATGCCTTTATTATTCTGATCTCATATGCTAAAATAACAAATAGTAATAATGATCTTTCAGTTGCAGCCATTGACCACTTTAGTTGGGGGTTTATACTTTAGGGGGGTTTCCAGGCCCTCCATACCCCGTGCCAACATAGGTTTTTTGGGGTTTTTTGGGGCCCCCCCCAAAAATTTAAATTCCTTAAAACTAAAAGGTCCCAAACTCGTTTTTTTGTTAAGCCTGGGGGAAAAAAAATACCATGGGTTTTTTTTAAAACAAAAAAATTAACAAATTTTTTTCTGGTTTAGTAATAAAACCCTAAAGCAGAGAATTCAAAGCATTTGGGGATTAGGAGGAGGTGCGGGTTACTAAAAAAAAATAATCCAGAAGGTGAGGAAAGGGGTTTTTATGGGGGGGTTAGGACATTTAGAGAGGATGCCCGGGGGGGGTGTTTTAAATTGTAGTAGAGGTAAAGGTTGGGGGGAGGGGGGTTTTTTTTAAAAAGGTAGGAAGGGGTTTGGGGTTTTGGAGGATTTTGTGCCCCCACCTATTTTGGTTAAAGGGGGGATTCCAGTCCTGGGCCCCTCTTCAATGCTAGGTCCACCAAAAGTTTTGTGTTTTTACTCACCTAGTTTAGGTTGCAGGGGTCGGGGTCCCGCTCCCGGGCCCCGCCTCTTCACTGGGTTTAATGTGTGTGTGTGTTGGTGTGGGTGTGTGGGGTGTTTTGTGTGTGTGGGGTGTGGTGTTTGTGCATGGTGTGTGTGGGTTTTTTGTGTGGCGCGTTTTGTGCCCTGTGCGGGTTTTGAATTTTCATTTTCATGTGTGCGTGTGCGTGTGTGTTGGGGGTGTGTGTGTGTGTTTGTGTGTGTGTGTGTGTGTGTTTTGTGTGTGTGGTGTTTTTGTGTTTTGGTGTTGGTTGGGGGTGTTTTTGTGTGTGGTGTGTGTGTTTTTGTGTGGGTGTTTTGTTGTGTGGTGTTTTGTGTGTGTGTGTGTGTACTCACCCCTTTTTTACCCCCCTATTTTGGGGGTTTCAGGGGGCGAGTCCTAGCTCCCGGCCCCGCCTTCTTCACCGGTTTTGCTAAATAGGCCCTCTCTCTCCCCCCTCCCTGAGCTTTTCCAAAACCCCTCTTAAAAAATTTTGTATGGTTCCTGCCTCCCCTACGTCATTTTTTAGGGGCCCCATTCCACTGCCTTTCAACTCTTGACTTGAAAAAAAAATACTTCCTACTATCTCTCTGAAAAATCATTTGTGTCTTCAATTCCCAAATTTTGGCCTCTTTTTTCGTGTCCCCTCCCCGGAAAAATCCTGTCTTTGTCCACCTTTCTATTCCACGCGGATTTTATATGTCGTTTTCCCTGGTCTCCCCTGACCCCCCCTGTCCTCCCGTTTTGGGCAGGCCCAATTTTCCCCTTTAAAATCTTTCCTCATAGGACATTCCCCTTGCTCTGGAACTAACCTTTGTCGAAAACCTTTGTACTTTCCTCTATTTTTCTTGACGTGCTATCAATGCGGGTTCCAAAAAGGTGCTGCATACTCCAGTATGGCCTGACATACAGGGTGTACAGTGTCTTGAATGATTCCTTACAAAGGTATCGGAATGCTGTTCTCAGGTTTGCCAGGCGCCCATATGCTGCAGCAATTTATCTGATTGATGGTGCTTCCGGAGACAATGCTCGGTGTTATACTCACCCCCAAAAATCTTTCTCCTTGAGTGAGGTTTGCAGTCTTTGGCCCCCTGCCTATACTCTGCTGTGGTCTTCTGTGCCCCTCCCCCATCTTCATGACTTTGCATTTGGGCAGGATTAAATTCCTGTGTGTGTGTGTGTTAAATGTATGTGTGTATGTATGTGTGTGTGTGGCATGAATGTGTGTGTGTGGTGTGAATGTGTTGTGTGGTGTGAATGTGTGGTGTGTGGTGTGAATGTGGTGTGTGATGTGAATGTGTGTGTGTGGTGTGAATGTGTGTGGGGCAGTGTGACTGTGTGTGTGGTGTGTGTATGCGGGGTTGGTGTGTGTATGTGTGTGTGTGGTATGAGTATTTTATGTCGTTATCATGTCTTCCCCGACCCTCCTGTCCTCCAGTGTCGTCAGGCCGATTTCCCTCAAACCTTTCTTCGTAGGACAGTCCCCGTAGTTTGGGGACTAGTCTTGTTGCAAACCTTTGCACTTTCTCTAATTTCTTGACGTGCTTGACTAGGTGTGGATTCTAAACTGGTGCTGCATACTCCAGTATGGGCCTGCATGGGTCGGAACGCTATCCGTAGGTTTGCCAGGCGCCCGTATGCTGCAGCAGTTATCTGATTGATGTGCGCCTCAGGAGATATGCTCGGTGTTATACTCACCCCCAGATCTTTTTCCTTGAGAAAAGGTTTGCAGTTTTTGGGCCATCTAAACTATGTTGGGGTCTGCGGTCTTCTTTGCCCTTCCCCAATTTTTCATGACTTTGCATTTATACTCAAGGAGCCAGTTGCTGGACCAGGCTTGTACCTGTCCAGGTCTCTTTGTGTCATGCCTGATCCTAAATCCAAATTTGATTCTTCTCATTAACTTCACATAAATCTGCAAACAAGGAAAACTTCTGATCTATCCCTTCCGTTATGTCGTTCACATATACCATATGTACTCAACTATTTGATTTTGCAGGGGGCGAGTCCAAGCTCCTGGTCCCGCCTCTTCACTGGTCGCTACTGGGTCACTCTCCCTGAACCATGACTTTATCGTACCTCTGCTTAAAGCTATGTATGGATCCTGCCTCCACTACATCGCTTCCCAAACTATTCCACTTCCTGACTACTCTGTGGCTGAAGAAATACTTCCTAACATCCTTTGATTCATCTGTGTTTTTCAGCTTCCAACTGTGCCCCCGTGTTGCTGTGTCCAGTCTCTGGAACATCCTGTCTTTGTCCACCTTGTCAATTCCTCTCAGTATTTTGTAAGTCGTTATCATGTCCCCCCTATCTCTCCTGCCTCCAGTGTCGTCAGGTTGATTTCCCTTAACCTCTCCTCATAGGACATACCTCTTAACTCTGGGACTAGTCTTGTTGCAAACCTTTGCACTTTCTCTAGTTTCTTTACATGCTTGGCTAGGTGTGGGTTCCAAACTGGTGCCGCATACTCCAATAGGGGCCTAACGTACAGGGTGTACAGGGTCCTGACGATTCCTTATTAAGATGTCGGAATGCTGTTCTGAGGTTTGCTAGGCGCCCAAATATGCTGCAGCAGTTTTTTGGGTTTTATGTGCGCTTCAGGAGATGTGCCTGGGGGTTATACTCATCCCAAGATCTTTTTCCTTGAGTGATTTTTTGTAGTCTCTGGCCCCCTAGACTGTACTCTGTCTGCAGTCTTTTTTGCCCTTCCCCAATCCTCATGACTTTGCACTTGGTGGGATTGAACTCCAGGAGCCAGTTGCGGACCAGGTCTGCAGCCTGTCTAGATCCCTTTGTATTTCTGCCTGGTCTTCGATCGAATGAACTCTTCTCATCAACTTCACGTCATCTGCAAACAGGGACACCTCGGAGTTTATTTCCTTCCTTTCATGTCATTCACAAATACCAGAAACAGCACTGGTCCTAGGACTGACCCCTGTGGCCCCCCGCTGGTCACAGGTGCCCACTCTGACACCTCGCCACGTACCATTACTCGCTGCTGTCTTCCTGACAAGTATTCCCTGATCCATTGCAGTGCCTTCCCTGTTATCCCTGCTTGGTCCTCCATTTTTTTGCACTAATCTCGTGTGTGGTACTGTGTCAAACGCCTTCTTGCAGTCCAAGAAAATGCAATCCACCCACCCCTCTCTCTCTCTTGTCTTACTGCTGTCACCATGTCATAGAACTCCAGTAGGTTTGTGACACAGGATTTCCCGTCTCTGAAACCTGTTGTCTGCGGGTGATGAGATCATTCCTTTCTAGATGTTCCACTATTCTTCTCCTGACAATCTTTTCCATGATTTTGCATGCTATACATGTCAGTGACACTGGTCTGTATTTTTAGTGCTCAGGGTCTGTCTCCTTTTTTAAAGTTTGGGGACCACATTTGCTGCCCCTTCCATGCCTCAGGCAATTCTCCCTGTTTCGATAGAAGTATTGAATATTTTTTGTTAGGGTACACATAGCGCCTCTGCTCCTCTCTCAGGACCATGGAGAGATGTTATCTGGCCCTTTTGGGCCTTTGAGGTATCTAGCTCACTCAGAAGCCTCTTCACTTCTTCCTTGGTTGTGTGTACTGTGTCCAGCACATGGGGGGTGACCCCCGCCTCTCCGTCTTTCTGGAGCCACTTCTGTCTCCTCGTGAACACTTCTTTGAATCTCTTGTTGAGTTCCTCACATACCCCAACGGTCATTTCTTGTTGTCCTCCCTCCCTTCCTTCCTTAGCCTGATTACCTGGTCCTTGACGGTTGTTTTCTCCTGATGTGGCTGTATAACAGGTTTGGGAAAGATTTGGTTTTTGCTGCTATGTCGTTTTCATATTGACGTTGGGCCCCCTTCTTATCTGTGCATATTCGTTTCTTCTGGCTCTACGACTGCTCTCCTTATTCCCCCTGGTCCTTTGCCTTCTATATTTCTTCCATTCCCTAGCACACTTGGTTTTTGCCTCCTTGCATTTTTGGGGTGAACCATGGGCTCATCCTGGCTTTTTCATTATTCCTGTTACCCTTGGGTACAAACCTCTCCTCAGCCTCCTTGCACATTGTTGCTACATATTCCATCATCTCATTAACTGGCTTCCCTGCCAGTTCTCTGTCCCACTGAACCTCATTCAGGAAGTTCCTCATTCCTGTGTAGTCCCCTTTCCTGTAGTTTGGTTTCATTTGTCCTGGCCTTCCTGCTTCCCCCTCCACTTGTAGTTCTACTGTGTATTCGAAGCTCAAAA